TGTGGACATGGGTTTGAACCACACTTCAGAGAGATGTGGACATGGGTTTGAACCACATTTCAGAGGGGTGCGGACATGGGTTTGAACCACACTTCAAAAAGGTGTGGACATGGATTCAAACCACACTTCAAAGGTGTGTGGACATAGGTTCGAACCACACTTCAGAGAGGTGTGGACTTGGCTTAGCAGCACAACACACCTTCCAGAATGGGTTTTAGCTGTCATGTTGTTGTCAGGTGCTGCCGAGTTGACCATGACTTATGGTGACCCTGTTGCTATCAACTCTGCTATACTTGAGCCGATTGTTAGAGTCACTGTGTCAACCTATCTCATTGAGGGTCTCCCCCTCCTGTATGATGTCCCTCCTAATAACATGCCCAAAATCTGTGAGACAAAGTTTCACTCTCTTTGCATCAAAGTAGATGTTTTGCATCTGGTTGAACCTTTTCCAAGACATATTTGCTTGCTCTTTTGACAGTCCATGGGACATTCACTACTCTTCTCCAATACTGCAACTCAAAGGCATCAATTTTTTCTTCTGTTATCCTTATTTATTGTCCAGCTTCCAGATGCATAACAAGTAATTTAAAAGACCATGGTTTGGATCAGATGTACCTTACTCTTTAAACTGACGTCCTTAACTGGCCCGTGACAGCACATTTTCCCAATGTAATATGTGTTTTTTTATTTCCAGACTGCTGGTGCCAAGGATGCTGATTGGGTATCCAACTAAGATCAAATCATTGACAATTGCTATCTCTTTTCCATCTATCATGATGTTGGCCCAATAGTTAAGATCTGGGTTTTTTATTGTGGAGATATAATCCATATTGAAAACTACAGTCTGAGCAAGCAAGATTGTATCATCTGCATAATGCAAGTTGTTAATAACTTTTTCACTGATCCTGATTTCACATTCTTCCTGATAAAGGCCACTTTCTTGAATTATTTGCTCAGCATTCAAATTGAATAGGTATGGAGAAAGGATACAGCACTGATGCATACCTTTGTTGATTTTAAGCCATGAAGTATTCTCTTGCTCTGTTCACCTAGCAGCCTCTTAATCTAGGTATAGACTTTGAATGAGCAAAATTGTGTTCTGGGATTCCTGTTCTTCTCAATGTTGGCCATAATGTTTTATGATTCACATAGTCAAGTACCTTTGTGTCAAAACACAAATAGACAATTCTTCTGCTATTCTCTGCTCTCAGCCAAGATCTAAATGACATAAGCAACAGTGTCTCTTGTGCCATGGCCTCTTTTAGATCCTGCCTTAAGTTCTGGCAGCTCTCTGTCAATATACTGTTTTAGCCATTTTTTAATCATTTTCAGCAAGATTTTGTTTGCATGTGGTATTAATGATATTGTTTGGTAATTTCTACATTCTGTTGGAGATATCTCTCTCTGTCTCTCTCTGTCTCTCTGTCTCTCTGTCTCTCTCTCTCTCTCTCACACACACACACACACACACACACTCATATGTGTCTCCCACTCATTCCCATACTTGGTGATTTTCAACTCTGACTAGATGTTAAAAGTATTTGAGTAGCTTTGAAATGGGGAGAAATTAAGAGAGGAAGAAATATAATGCCTATGGCTCACCCCAAGCCAATTAATTCCATTTTTGCCAGTGAGTGGGACTCAATCCATCCCTCTCTTTTAAAAGGCTTCTCAAATTATTTTAATGTGTAATCATGCTGTGAATCACTGCCTAAAATCTGTGTCTTTTTGAGAAGCACAGTTTCTGATAAAAATTTGGTCTCTTCCTCTCGTATCTGATAAAAAGCAGTGATGATAGTGCCAACATTTTCTTTTTCCTTCATCCCAGTGTCTCAAACCTTTAATTATTCTATTCTATTACAAACCTCCCTGTTTGTGTGAATCTTGATGTCTCTAGTTTTACTGCAGTCCATCTTTCTTTCAAAGCCATGTTCACCCCTGAAATTCCTGTGAAATTCCTATATTCATGTGGTTCATCTCTCCACTATAATAGCTATGGAGTTTTCTTCATTTTTTCTCTTCCTCAGTTTACTTCCATTTTCTCCATCTGTATCATTCATGACCACATTCCAGAGTCTGCTGTCTCCTTCGATGGTTCCCTCACCGAAGTCCTTGACTCCAGCATCTCGCCTTTACACCTCAACCTCTTCCTTTCCCATTTCTCTGCCTTCTTCATTTCTTCCATACACAGTATTAAGCTGTTGTTTCTTATTGTTTTGGTGTAAGCTTTGTTTACCTTAGAAAAGCATCTGATTCCTTGATTTCTCCTCCTTTTTCTGCCAGTCTTTCAAGCCCCTTTTTGATTCCTCTTCCTCACATCCATCAGTTCAATGATTGACCTAAGTTACTCCCTTATCCATATATATTCAGCTCCTTTGACCTCCAGTCTGATGCACAGTCTTGAAATTCAAAGCCTTGATTAAGTTTGTAAGCTAGTATCTAACTTTAAATCTGTATGCCTGAGCCTGCTACATTTTAATTTGTAGTTCTTTTAGGCCTTCAGTTTTGCAGAACAACTTTTTCTTGTTCTTGGTCATTTGAAACTTCAAACTTTCACCAGTCTCCTCCATACCACTTTTCTTACCCACAAAAATGAATTTATCTCCTTCTTCAGGAAGAAAACTGGTGCTGAGGCATACACATTCTCAGTGCTACCACCCCTGAACTCACTCAGACAACTCACACATACAGTACACACATGTACAATCTGTGCCGTGCTGGGACCTATTGTTGTTGCCCCTGTGTGCGCACATTCAGTTGATGGTCTTCCACTCTTTGGCTGACTTCTATTCCCAGCATGATGTCACCCACAAAAAAGGCTGCCCAAACTTGTAATTCATCCATTCATATATTTTTCTTGTCACCACAAGCTCATTGACGTGGGTTATTATATGTTATTATGTGACATATATAGAGACAAGTAATAATATTATGCCTTTCCCCTGAAGGGAAGAGTTTGTGATTTTTGATGGCATTTCTGATATTATTTGTAATCTAGGGGGGAAATTCCAGTAAGGAGGAGGAGAGTAAGTTCTAAGGAAAGGAGATGATTGGCATGCCATAGTTTCAGAGGGTAAATGAGTCAAGATGGAATAAACATGACAAATCAAAGGTATGATCTTATTCTAAGACATTGAGAGGAATAGGTAAAAGGTAAAGGTGAAAAGAAATGCAAATGAAGGAAGCAATTGTTTATTACAAGGAAATTAGAAGTCAAGGCCCTGTTGAGATGGGAGATTACCAGGAAGGTGTTTTGAATAACTTCAACATAAAATGGAATAATGGAAGCAGACACTATTGGGAGAGATCAGTAATGGCTAGTATTGGAAGGTCAGCTGATGTGAGAGTGAAGGAGTTTTTAAGGAAGCTAGTTGTCTTGGCTACATGAATTTTAATGTAGGAATAAGCAATAGAGTTGGCTTTGACTGAGTGTGGGGCTCTAGATTGACGTAAAATTATATTACATTCAGGAAGAGGTAATTTTCTTCTCTCCATTTTCCTGCCCCATGTAAAGAAGTTATGTGACCTCAGACATCTCTACTGGTGGGTCTTTGTGGGAGTGTAATTCCCGAGTTTTAGTACAACGTTTTAAAAAGAAAAATGATGTATTTAACATATTGCATTATGCCCATATAAAACCATAGTGCTGATGGTTTCTTATTATCCTTAAAACTGATTCTAAAACTGTTGAAATCTTTCTTTTTTACTAATAAATTATTATATAAACAAATATATTATATATTATAATATATAATATATTACTAAAAACTGACCAACCGAAGCAGAAATCCAGTGATTAGATGGATTTATGTGGAAATCTGGTTAAGGAGCACCTTTCATTGGTAGTGAGTTAGATATTACTCTGTTCAACAAAATCTTTTTAAGGGTTTTTCTCTGCTTCTTGGGAGTTAGACATCTTAATTTTTAGAATCTTCCTTTTAAAGGAGCTGCCTCTATCTATTTTCCATTCTTTCTTCTTAACTTTAATCTTCTTTTTGCTTATGGGCATGGGGAAGACCAAAGTTTCATAACTCTGTTGAGAACTTGAAAGAAGATACTGATGAAATAATGAGGGATCCACATGTCAGAGTGTATCTCCCTCAAACAATGAAGTGTTATAAGAAGACAAGTCCTGATGATGAGAACACATTTTGTTAGGGAGAGAGAAAAAAAAAACTTAAGTACAAGTTTTCATTTTCATTAAAATGTCCTTTAGTCTGTATTTGTCTTGTCTACACTAAAGTGAATTGTATGAGAATAGATTCTGTATCTTCCACATACTATTACACTATTCTCTTTATATCCAGAGTACACAATAAATGCTACATCAGTTAAAAATGAGAAGCACAAACACATTTTAAGGTAAAACGCTGATATTTTAATCCTTATTGTTTATTTTTAGTACGTGAGAAATATTTTAGAAATCCAAGAATTATTTCAGTGTAGTTTTTCATACACACACACACACACACACACATACACATATATATACATAGAGCTATACATACATACATACACATGTAAGAGATATCTATAAGGTAAATATACCAGATTCTTACAGAATAAAGATGAGTAATCCCCTCTTGTGTAATTTATAGCCTGTGAAAACTCACTGAAGGGTCAGCTATGACTCAGTTCCTTCTTGATGGCACATAACAACAACAACAACAATATATGGTTCTTAAGTATACTCTATATTTAAGCAGTGCTATAATATGGCTTGAGTCTCATCCCCCCATCTCCAAATGTAAATTTTTTAAAATAAATTTATTTTTTAAAAATCGGCACCATTTCTTCACAGTTGCTGTAAAAGGCAGGATACGAAGTAAATCTTTGGAAAATTATTTCCATTATCCCTTAATAAAAAGTATAAAAAAAAAAAATCCAGAACTCCGCATTGCCATCAGCCACATTTCAGTCTGTGCTGAATTTCAATTTTTTTGCATGATCTCTATCTCGTCCTATGCTCTCTACAACTCATTCATGTTTGTCCTTTTCAGTTTATTGAAATCAAAACGTGACGGCTGGCTGATTGGAACTTCACCATCAATCAAAAAGTTCCCAGAATCTGCTAGCAGTGGAGAAAGTAGAAGGGGAAAGAAAACAGTGGATTTTCGGTCAGAGATGGATGATGATGCCCTGCGGACTTGTCAAAAGAAGGATACAGGTAGAGCGCAAAGAGGTAAGCTGGAGGGACAAAGTTAGAAATTCTTGGGGACAGATAGTTGCTGGTGGCTGATGACCAGTGAATTCCAAGTGATTTCCAAATCCTGATCAAGAATTAAATATGTAACAAATTGGCATGTGCCAGCAAGGCCAAGGTAATATATATACTAGATCAGTAAATTGCATCTCTGTTTCTCTTAGAATTTTGATAGTGAGCAAATATATACAATTTGTCATCCTTTCCTCAAGCAGCAAAGTGTAAGAATTATTCAAGAGTAAGTGTGGTCAGAGACACAAAACAATATTCATAGCAAATAAAATGGGCCAGAAATAAGGATAAATTTCTCTGGGGAAAGTAAACCGTAACATCTCCAGTCAATCCTTAATTAACTGTGAATTTGGGGGGAGGTTGAGCAGAGACTTTGTAGGACTCCACAGTGTGACTGAAAGAAAAACCTCAAAAGGCTTAGGCATATATTCCCTCACAGTCTTTTAAGTACCAGTAATAACTTTCTATTTTATATATCACAAATATTTTAAAAGAAATCAATTATAGATAAGTGTATGAAATGTTGAGTGGAGCAGTCAAATTTAATTATGTTTCCCAGCTGATCCCAGAGTGGCTTTTGGCTTAATCTATCTGGCATCCTTTGGGGAAGGACATTAAAACAGAATGAAGCAAGTTTGAATTTTGTTATACACAAGAATTAGCCAAGAAACTAAGGGCCAGAAGGAGTCTCGGAGCCCCGTCTGCCAGCACCTTTTTCCTGGTCATCTTGTTTTCCTGTTCACCACCATTAACTTTGATTTCTTTCCCTGTTGTTACCTGTTTTTCCACCAGACCAGCATCTTACCACATCTGATTTTAAATAATCCCTATTTTAGAGCATGTCCAGGTACGCTCACATTTCTTATTTGAGAGCTGGGCGATACTTTGTGAGGAGATCTCACAGGGTTTCCCTTTCACTGTTTCTCTTCACCTGCTTGCAGTGTCTTGTTTTTCTGTTATGATTATCATTATTTTAGGAATTGTTAATCCTCTTCCAGATAATTGAGACATAACTGGTAGGCTGAAATTCAGAAAGAAGACTGTCCACAACTTGAAACAAATTCAAAAGGATATTTTCGTTTGATCTAAGGCAAAAGTTCTACAGACCACCGTTGCTTTAGGACAACTTGGAAACTTCTTTTTAAACTTTGTTACCAACAGTAAAAATGAAATTGAAGAGACCTACTTTTGGAGATAAATCGCCTTACCTTTGTTTGCTAGCAGTCCGTCAAAGACAGAAAACTCTTAACTTTAGCTTCCTCTATCCTTAGCCATTGCACTTTGAAGAGTGGAGAACCAGTCAAAATAGTGTGGTTACAATGCAAGGCTTAACATAGTCTTCTGTTAACTTGTCAACAAATTTGTGTTGTGTGTCAGCACTAAAATAAAATGGCAAAATGAGGGGGTAAAAATGGAGTGTAATAGCAAAGGGACAAATAACTTGTGTTATTGGTTGAGACCACAACAACATTGGAAAGTAGCAATTGAAAAGGCACTCCGGGAAAGGTGTCATCAGGCCAGGCCTTGCCATGGTGGAGGTTAATCTCCCCTGGACCCAGCTACAGACGCTGGAAGCCTGCAAAGGGCTCATGTCCAAAAAAAATCAATTTCTAATTTGAAACAAAATCATTTTTGACTAACAGGGGTTCAGAACCCATTACTTTTTGCTGTATAGTCTGCTGACATTTCAGCACTTTCTGTTGTGCACAATGAATCCTAATAGTCATTTTATAATGTTGCTATACCAATCAATTTAACCAGGAGAAAGCTGTTACGGTTCTGCAAAGTTTTCAAGAACAGTTTTCACTCATGGTTTTATTTTTATTTTTTCATTAGACTCCCCTTTTCTATTTTTTTTTTATTGGAGGGGAAGTCAGAGAGTTATTGTGTAGAAATGAGAAACTGGAAACTTTTTTACCTTTTAAAAAAAGTTTTGGTTTTTTGTGGTTTTTTTTTTTTAGTTTTGTATACTGCATTGAAACAGATGAGGGAGAGAACTGTTTAAAAGGGATATGTGATTAGGTATTATTGTCATGACAGGAGTCCAGAACAAAGGCTGCAGAGAGGAGTTGACTTGGGGGGAGGGATTATATAACAATGAAAGAATTTTTCTTTTACTTTTCAAAGAGAAGAGCGAACTGGGGGTGCGGGGCAGGGAGAAAAGTACAACAATGAGTGAATGGAAATCCAAAGTCTCTGTAAATTTTCATTAAAATTAATAATAATGAAAATTTTAAAGTTTTGGTTTTAAGGCTATCACAGAAATTATTAACTTTTTTTCTATTCTTGAGCAAGACAGTCTCACCATTTTTTCTTCTTTAGTCTATTTGTGGAGCCATTAGCAAATTTCTGCTTTGCTTGATAACTGAAGGAGCCAGAGTTGCTCCTCTGAAGCAGTCTGCCCACTGTAGCGCTCACTGGTGTGCATGAAATTAGACAGGGGAAAGCATCCAGTCAGATGTGAGAACTCAGCTTTCCAAAGCGTGCTGTGTTACCTTGTTTGTCGTAAGGCCAATGATCTAGCATTCACTGCCTGAGGTTCCCTGCTTGGGTTAGGGCCTACTTAATTCTCTGCACCTGTTAGTTGTTGTTGTGTATCGTCAAGTCAGAACCAACCCATAGCTGACCCTCCAGAGCATTTTTAGATGCAGTAAATTGCACAGATTTCTTCTACAGGGCAGCTAGTGGATTCGAACTGCGTACCTTAGGGTTGGCTGCACAATTCCTTACCACTGTTTAACCTGTCTAAATTCTTTATCTGTACTTTTCTTCCGTTTTTGTCCTTTGTTAATATCCTTTAGTCATTAAGTACTGTGTAGGACATTTACTGTAGGTTCATTAATCTTTCTTACCAATCTCTTACTCCTTTACCACTCCTCCTCACCATGCAGTCAACTTGATTCAAGCCAAACATCTCCTTTTATTAAAAGAAGGAAAAACAAAAGCACTTCTCACTCTTAACTTCAAGAAACACACATGTACTAGCCAAAATATGCCCTCTGTGTTTCAAATTATACTTAAAATACAGACTACTTTTTTTTATTACTTTATTTTATTTTATTTTTTAAATGTGTGTACCATCAAATCAGATCTGACTGGTACAGGAGGAGATTGTCCCTCCTTCTTCAGCAGAGTATCTGGTGGATTTGAACCTCACATCTCTGGGATTGCAGTGCAGCTTCTTGCCACTAGGCCACCAGAGCTGGCTAAAGTACAGACTGTTTTTAATTCATCAATGCTTAGAATGTAGTATTTTAGTTGTACTTGTTACACTCTTTGGAACAATGAGATTTTCATTGCTAAGGCCTAAAGTGGAGTGAAGAACCTTTAAACCGAGTGTATGAACCTGGACAGAGCTGGTCCTCACACCTCTTTCCTCCCTAGGGAGCAAAACTTGTTCTCTTCTGCACCATCTTCACCGTCTCTACTGCGCCCAAACCCACTGTTGCAATCACTGTGACAGTCCATCTCCTTGATGATCTTTGTCTCTTGGTCTGACTCTCTGCTTTTCCAAATAAGATGTCTTTTTTCCAAGAATTGATGCTTCCTTATTAAAATTTTAATATTAATTTTAAGATTCGCTTACTAATTTCTCCAACAACAACAGAAATCAGAACAAAACCTAGTGAGGTTGGGATTAGAATTGCATTGACTCTTTTATGATCCAGTTCAGGAGAATTCATGATTTCTTTAATGTGATTATTTTTTTTTACCCTCTGTTAACATTGTGTGTACTTCCCATTGTAGAAGTCTTGTGCAACTTTCATAAAACGTTGTACTACGTCTTTCCTGTTTTATTTCTATTATCAGTCATTTCTTGAAATTCATTTTATAATTGCTTGCTGCTAGCAATTAAAAATATTGAATTGATTTTGATATGTTAACTGTTTATCTGATGACATTGCTAAATTAACTTACTCATTCTAATAGTTTTTCTTTGGTGTTGTTATTGAATCTTTATACGTTTTTATTATTATTATTAAATTTTATTAGTTTTAATGAACATTTACAGAGATTTGGGGTTTTCATTCATTCATTGTTGCACTGTTTTCTCCACCCTCCTTCCCAGTTTGTTCTTCTTTCCCCCCCATGTCTGTTTTAATTGTCCAATTGCCACAGTGCTTGTCAAAGCCAGTTCTGATTAATCTCCTTTGTCAGTGTGTCCCTTGCCATTCCCTATCACTCCTCCCTGAGAGAGACTTCACCCTGATTCATAAGGAAAAGGGGATGGCATATTCTCTTAGCTACTTCCTGCTGAAAAGGGATGCTGTGAGTTTCAGAGTGAATGTCTTCTCTCACTACTCTAAAGGGCCCCCTTGGCAGTAGGAAACACATAGACTATTATGGAGATTGATTTTGGAATTTAGATGCACTGTTATCAATTGTGCTTAGCCGTACATGTTCATATCCTTGAAGATGTATCATGGAAGTGTTGCAGCCTAGAAGATACAAATTTAACTAACAAGTTAAAAGTGCATTAGTCAAAAATGGAAAAGCAATAATATTCTGAGTAGAGGTTCTAATAGTGGCACAAATCAAGTTACAGAGGTAAGGTGGTTCCATTGCCATCCTTACTCTAACTTAATTCTTTTTTTTAATTTAAATTTATTATTAATTTCAGTGAAATTTTACAGAGGCTTTGGATTTCCATTCATTCATTGTTGTAGATTTGTCCCCTCCCAAGGCTCCCCCCCACCAGACATTACCCTCTTGGAGAAGTAAAAGAAAAGATTCTTTCATTATTTTACAAACCCTCCCCCAGGTCTACTCCACCATGTAGCCCTCGCTCTAGACTCCTGTCATGACAGAAATACCTAATCAGATATCTCTTTTAAACAGTTTTCTCCCTTCTCTGTTTCAGTGCAGTATACATTATTGAACCCATCTTACTCAGTCTCTCGCCAACCCCAAGGACAGTCCTATTCTACAACAGTGGCACCGTGCAATACTTGTCCTTTTGTGACCGG